TGGTATCCTCAGCATCCTTCTGTAGAATCATAACTCTGTTGTTTCAAGTCAGCTTTTCATCTCTGAGCAGATCGTTCGACACTCACTGCCATAGAGGATTACAGATATCACATAGCAGTTTAGTACTCTTTTCCTCGTTTCCAGCGATTTTTTTCTATTTCTTAGTACTTAGCTTCTGGAATGTATCTTAGGCTATCCCAAACCACCTGCGGATCTCAGTGTCACTCTTTCCATCCTCCGTTAAAACACTTCCCAGATATTTAAATTTCCGCACTCGTTTGATTTTTTGATTTTCAACTTCTCGAGAGCACCTCTCTGCGGCTGCTTGGTCTCACGTTGACTGCTGGCCTGAGATGGAACAAATACATTGAGTCAATTGCTTCGTCCACCGCAAGGAAAGTTGGCTCCCTGTGCCGCGCCAGGAAATTTATCTCCCCGGAATCGATCCTCCAGATCAACAAATCAACAATTCGCCCTTGCATGGAGTATTGCTGCCATATATGGTCTGGAGCCCCTTCTGTTTGCCTCGGGGTTCTTGATAAGCTCCAGAGGCGGATATGCAATAAAATTGGCCCTGTTCTGGCATCTCGTCTACAGTCACTCTCTCACAGACGCGCCGTCGCCTCTCTCTGTCTGCTTTACAAATACTTTCATGGTAATTGCTCCGAGGAGCTGCATTCGCTGGTTCGCAGACTTCATGAGTTCAAGTGCCCTACGAGGCTGGCATCCCGCTCTCACCCTTTCACTGTCGAAACTCCTAAATGTAGCTGTCTCTTCTACTCCAATAGCTTCATGTCTCGCACTTCTCGCCTGTGAAACTCCCTTCCCTACTCCAGTTTCCCTGAGAGCTATAATCTCCAACTAGTCAATCGATATCTCCAGTTGCCTTGATCTATCCACTATCCTTCGCCTCATCCTTTCCTCTATCACTCCTATTTGATCTTGCTCCAAATTTTCTGTAACCCTTTGCGTCCTAGTGGCTTCTCGCCTTACTTGGGGTGAAACGCTTAAAAGAAAATTCCGATTTTCAACAGCCATGCATTCTGTCTTCTTGCTGTTGAGCGTTTTAATAAGATACAAGAGAATTGTTCGCGCATTGAAAGGGAACATTTGGGATAATGAAAGAATAACATCACGCACACTTGAATGTTCAACTACCGAAAAGAAAAAATCTGATATGTGAACAAAGATAAAACGTGTTCATAGCAAATCAACCAAGTAGTAGCATTCAGATAAAACTTTACTTACTTGTTTCACGCATGAATAAAGATTCTTTTTTTTAAATACTGGAGAGGTTTACATGTGTCATGTCTTAGAAGATGTGTGGATGGTTTAATGGCTAACGGCGCGGAAAATTTAATCAGTAGACTGTTTCATTTCGTTCACTTTTCACAAATACCTTTGGGAATGATAGGAATCCATGTTTTCTCCGCATTAATTATGGAAAAATAGTAGGACATATTGGATTCTTCAGATAGGATATGAAACCAAATCTCGGAGAAATACAAACCAAAATGAAAACTCTGAAACACAACATTAGGAAGCATCGTAGCAGGTTTAGAACAATTAATCCCCATTTCTTACAGTCACTAGGAATGGCGTAAGAAAATGTCATATATATATATATATATATATATATATATATATATATATATATATATATATATGTAGTAAAGGTAACAAATCATTTGGTATATAATCCAAGTGGATCCTAGTAATATAAAATATTAAAACTGATACATAAAAAACAGCTCAATGTTTTTTCTTTATTACAGAGCAAATAATTAATAAACAATAAAACAGAAAATTAACTTGTCGAGAAAATCATGATGTAATGAAAATGTTGACATTCCACATTACTTCAAATAAAAATTTAAGAAAGAAACCCTTGTCAATACTGAAAGAGCAATAACGGCTGCTGAATCTGGGAAACCTATTTTCATGAAACACTGTTTTAAGAGAAAGATTTTTCTAAATTTTAAGTCATTGGTATTGGCTGCTCGTTCAATAAGTGCCAAATATTTCCTTATAAGGAAACGGCATTTATTTCTTGATATTTAACCACAAACAGGGGCACACCCATGTCTTTTCACTTCATTCCAAGAATTTGATCAGCGTGAAAAAATACCTTAATATTCTGGGTGTGCGTTCCTTTTTTTTTATAATTTTTCTTCTGTAATGCATTAAATAATGTCACAAAACAATCTCTTCGTGAAATCGCTTCTGAGTTTGACGTGAAGTTTACGCCTTGTGACTCCACCCATTAACGGAAATGCGTGTGCAACTATCGCAAGTACACTACCTACTGAGTCGATCGTCCAGTACTAGTGCTCAATTATTACACAAGTGTTTGTAACGTTGTTGGAACGGTTCCGCAATCTTTACGATAGCTGATAAATCCGATCAAGATGCTTGCATTGCATAAAGCTCAGAAAATATGCTAGTGAGACATTCAACATTTTTTAACATTTTTTTAGGTGGCAGGGAGCTTTTTGAGGGACCTGCTCGGATGTACAGGTGGTGCAATGTTTCGCGGCTCGGAACGAGAAATTAGCGAACCGAAATCAAATTCCAGTCGAGTTCGTTATATTCATCATCATCATCAGTTCGAGCAAGCTTTGCATTCCATGGCACGCTGCCTCCATCCATTCCTGTCGTTCATTGTATTTAAAAGTTCATTCAGTGTGCACCTCGTGTTTCCAATAAGTTAGTCAATGTACATCTTCTTTCGTCGACCTTGTGTTCTTTTCCCATGTGATGGTATCCAGAGTAGAACGTCTCCAGTTAGTTCTTCTTTGTTACACCAACAGTAACCAACAAATCTTAGTTTTTATTGGCGTATTAATTTGCTGATGGGAGGTATATTTCCATAGAGTTTTTTCTTTATTGGGTAATCTTTTCAGGAGTTGTTTCGTTCTGCTCGAAGCATTTGTGTGTAAGCACCATCCAGCCTCTTTTCAAGTTTGGCTGTTATATTATATTCACTTTCGCGGAAACTTTGGAAAAATTATGAACTCAACTCTCCTCCCTCCACCTGTGGGTTAAGTAGTATGGCAGACTGGACTCTTCAGTCTTTGGTGGCAACAGAGACAGTCAACTTCGAATTAAAATCCTGCGACTGACGTCATCTTGTATCTGGATTATGGTTGTTGATTTTCAGAGATTGCTATTCCTCCTGTAGAAGTATTTATCACTATAACCTCTCTGAATTACAGGTACTTAATTACATGCAAGAAAGTTGTCATGGTCAAAATTGAGTAGATAAACACTAAATATGGGTTAAGCCTTGATTGGCAACTAGTCTAGGAGAAGGGCAATTCTGAATACAAAACCGGTTGGGCCAGAGCCTAGAAATTTCATCCCGTAAGAAAAAAAGGCTACTTATAACGGAAACCACAGCAGTACCACTAGTGTGTTCAGAGCCGTAGCCGCATACTCTTCAGTGAAGCCTGTGGGACGATTGGTGCCCCGTTTCAAAGTCAGTCACATGTCAGTTTATGATGTTGAATATCATTGTGACTAATCACCTGAAAAATCCAGAAAATATGCAAAAAATGATTGAACTCATACATGCGCACAATTCTGATTATTTACTTAAGTAATGTCCATTTATTTTACTACAAACTTTTCTGTGCTATTTTATAACTAATAACAATTAACAAAAATGAAGGTTGTCTTGAACGGCTAACCTTCTAGATCTTTTAGCATTGATTTCCTCCAGGGCTCTACCCTTGATCTTACGTTGTTCTTTATTTTCATCAACGACTTTTCCGATGTCATCACTTCTAAACTCGCTTTCCTGTGACATGAAAGATTATACTGAATTATACTACGGACACATTCCATGCGTACGGTATGCATATTTCAGCCGAATTAAATCATTACTGAAAAAAGAAACGTTAACCGAGCAAATATCTAAAGAGGAAAACGTAAGCTTGTCATGACAAGTTTAATATATAGTTTTTAAATAAAAATTTAATATGAAATTTTTTGGATTAGAACAGCTCTTGCTTCACAAGATATTTCAACTCTATTTAAATGCTTTTAATTTAAAAGTACATTTTACATTTAATCTATTTTGCCTATTGGAAAAGCGGTTGTATTGTTGCGAGGAAACGAATATGGAATACATGAATTATGTTTTCGAGGAAGTTTTATATTCAATGACGACATGAATAAATTTTCTTGGTTCGACCAATAAACGTTTTCAAAATAATTTGTAACATTTGAGCCATTGGTCAAATTCTGTGTAGATGGCAAAACTGAGAATCTTTCAGTACACACTTGTATAACGAATTATATTCAAAATTCTTTATAAATCTGTAAAATACAAAATACCTTTTTTCAAAAAGTCTGGGAATGTTGAACCACTTTGGATTTTTTTAGATAATGAATTATTTTATATATTTTTATGTCCAGACTAGCATTCTAATCGCGGTTGTTACAGCTACAACTCTCCGACCTCCTCCAATTGACTGTTCTACTCATTAAACAAAGCGTAAACGTTGGACTGATAACAATCTATAGCAGTGATTTGTATAAAGGTTTTAGCGCAATATTTCAAGGATGTTAACAAATATCACAGAGACCTGATGTACTCTAGAATGTACAACAGTCGAAATGTTGTGAGTATAGCAAGCACGATGATTGTAAAAGTTCAAACAGAATGATATATAATAATTTGGATGTAGCTAACTTAGGTATCTAGACTCGAGAAATATTTCTGATACCATATATATATATCCCACTCATGTAGCTTTGATCTAGACTCAACTAAGTATAATAAATTCAAACATGCAAGTTAAAAAAGCATAATTTTAAATCTGTATTAAATGAAATCTATTTATTTGAATATACAATCATTGTTACCTGATAAATGCCTAGAACGGAGTAATGTTCCAATTTTCTTTGCAAAGAAAACACACGAATGTATATGAATCCATTAAGGTGTATTTTCAAGATATAGCTAAAGTTTTCTTCTCTTTTTTCTTTCTTTGCAGACTGTGGTGTGATTCCTTTTGATTATCATTTTGAGCCATCAGGACATCGAAAATGTCAACTGGATTGTGTCGCTCGAAGCTTGGTTGGTTTCTCTTGATTCTTCAAGTGATATTCATCGTGTTGTTTGCAACAACTGTTTCTTATTCGGACACTGCACACAGCGTAGAGACCAAGGGCAAAAAAAACAGTGATGTGGACACTTACTATGGAAGTATGTATAGATAATCTGAACTTGTTTTCTTTTCTTTTCTTTTCTTTTCTTTCTTTCTTTCTTTCTTTCTTTTTTTCGTATATCTTTCTCTATTCGTCTTTCTTTTTCTTTGCTTCTCTGTCTCTTTGTCAGCCCGTCTGCCTTCCTCTCTCTTTCTCCTCTTCTCTCCTTCAGTTTCTTTCTTTTTCTCTTTCTCCCTCTCTCTCTCTCTCTCTCTCTATATATATATATATATATATATATATATATATATATATATATATATATATATATGAAGGTGGACCAGTAAGTACATCGTCCTGGGTATGACGATAAACTACATTCGCGTTGTGGGTAAGACAATAAACTACGTCCAACAGCAAAGCCTCTGATCAGGTTTTGAGGAGCGTGGGACCACCTCTTAATTACTGGTATTCCCAGGTCCACCCTGATCAGCACCTGTTAGGGTTCCAGGTATGGGCAAATAGTTAACTCCCAAACTGAAGTCAAAATACTATGAAAGTGTAAAAATTACCAGCAATACATTTTTGAAGGAAAAATATGACCAGCTATACATTTTTGAAAAAAAATTACCAGTTATACATTTAAAAAAAAAAAAAAAAAAACATTACCAGCGTTACATTCTGAAGAAAAAAATATCACCAGAAATAGATTTATGAAAGAGAAAAAGTATTACCAGCAATATATTTTTGAAAAAAATATTACCAGCAATAAAAATTTTGTAAGCATACCCATTGAGGTTGATATGCCGTAAAACAAACCAAAACCAAACCAGTAAGTATAGGGTGAGCCAAAAAGACGGAAACGTTTTAACAATCCAATACAACCAAGAGTGATGGAAGAAAAATATTTTATTCATAGTAATTGAAACCTTAAAACATGCCATTTAAGAAACAAAGGTGGAATTTTCATTTTTTTAAAATTACGTCCTGTAGATGGCGTCCTCCTGTACGAATGCATTCTTGAAATTTGCTGTTGAGATTCCTCATTGTCTGCTGCAACATCTCAGCTGGGATACTATGAATTTCATCTTGAATTCTAAATGGCGAAATGTTTACTTTCTCAAGGTCACTGTCTCGTAGTGTTGCGACTTGCTCATGTCTGGCAATACGCACTTCAAAAATTCCTATTTTTGGGGGTCACCCTGTACATAGGGCGATTCAAGTGTTGAAGTTTTATCCAAAATGTTCACTTTATAACATTAATTTGATCAGTGTACAATGTAGGAGCAATGAATGAAGTGCATTTGTCAAAGAATTAGTTATTATTGTAACATAAATATTTGTTGTGTAAATTAATATTTTACCGTCGATAGGCTACGGATTTACTCATCTACGTCTATACATACCACACACATGCGTGCACACACACACACACACACACACATATATATATATATATATATATATATATATATATATATATATATATATATATATAGGTAGAGAGAGAGAGAGAGAAAGAGAGATAGAGAGATTTATCAGTTTGACCCTTAGCTATTTTACTTATGAAGTATTTCTAAAACTTTTCTTTTTGCGTTGGGGCGCACTTGTAAACTCCAAAATGTTGATAAAGAAAAAATAAAATGACAATAGAAATATAATAAAGCAATTTCTTGAAATAAGCGTCTATTTTTAGACATTACATTGTATATTTAAATATGCTTGTGTGAAACATCTCTGATCGCAACTATTAAGCCTCGGCAGATGGTAATGTTTTGGTAACGTCACACAGCATAACAGCCTCTGTAAGACCATCGAGCGCTGTTGAAGACAGATTGAAGCGGCAACGACAACAGAAAAGCTGATCAGACAACATCAAAGAGTGGACGTAGATGATAATATCGGAACTCCTGAGAGACACCGTCAACAGATTATCTGTTTTTCCGCCCTTAGGTTCTCCTGACGCTTGAAAAAGTCAAGGGATTGGTGTTGAGGATGATGTATGAAACATGTGTCTGATGTGCTTTGGCAATTTTGGAACGTTATATGCCATGCCCTCAGGAAGGCATAATGGAAAAGATTATCCACTCCTTAAGGATTAAGGAATTTAAAAAATTAAACACCCAATTTAAAATATCAAATGACAAGACGTGACATGGAAGCCATGTGTTTGACATCTTTAACTCTTTAAAAATAAAAATTTTCTAATTATAAAAATAATTCATGAATTACTCCGCTTGTTAACTTGGAGCGCATCTGACTACCTTTCAGGGCGCATTAATTTGTATGTATAGGTGAGGAAGATAACGGTTAACCCTAGCCTTGAACAGGTTAAGATTATAGTGATCGGGGAAACATCTTGTTGGGAGTCGGTTCCACAGGGCAGTGGTTCGCGGGCAACATGTCTAACCGCCATTTCTGACATTTGATTATAAAAATCAAACACAAAATGTAATTTATTATAATATAATTGGTCGTGCTGAGAACTTTTCAGTACTTTCTCTGGTATAAACTAAAATAAAAAAGGCGTCGTATTTTGTCTTGTAAACGCAGATTTATAGATATAATCCTGAGATGTTGATTGCATGTGTATATATTGAGAGAATTTAAGGTCAAGTAATTAACCTTCTCTAAAAGTCACAGCAATTTTTTGACCTACTTAACAAAAGGTTGTGTGTATATCCAATAACGTAAAGTAGACATGTTTCCCTTGCCTTGACCTTTCAACTTTCTCCTATTGTATCAAGAGACAACAAATCTCTCTCTCACTTCTTCAGAAATATTTTCATTTTTTTTACCAGGAATAATTTGATTTTCAAGCATTTCAATTAGTATCATACGTTTTCACACCGATAATAAGTGGTGGGAGATGCGGATGATGCAACGTTTACAGTGAAATAAAATTGTCAAGTCGAGTTCAAATTCCAGTTAAGATGGATTATCGTCATTTTAAAGTAATACCATCTGGAATTGTTAAATAGCGGGGCAGACTAGGCTCTCTAGCTTTGCTTGTCAGAAAGTCTAAGAGAAAAATTATAGTTTGCAGATATTAATGAAAAGGGAACCCGTGGAGAGTCACGATCGTCTATAAAGGACATAGTACTTAGGGAAGAAGGGAAATAGTTAATATATTTTGTTTGGTATCAAGTGACAGCAAGTATTATGAATATTTTAACATCGGCACATTTGCCGATTTTAGCTCTTGCTTGAAGAACTCCGATTCATTATCAGATAACCAATCACTACAGTCTATTTATTTTCATTTAAAAAAATACAATAAAGGTTTTCAAATAGCTACAAGTTCGCCGATAATGATGAGCACTAGTGTGCTTTTGACTCTGTTTCAATTTCACGCTAGGATTAACTATTTTATTGATTCTGATTTTCTGTTTACATTCGGCAAGGTATTTGAATTATAATTACAAAGTTATAGTTTTAACAAAGTCATGATCAAACGGCTGAGCAACCAGAACATGGGATTGATATTTTGTGTTCAATTCCAGCCTAGGCCGTTGCGTTCGCTTTCGCAAAAATACTTCTGAAAAGGTATACATCAACCTCTTCTTTTCCTCAACTACGGGTTAATCTCAGCGCCAACGGGGTTTGTCAACCATTCGACGAGAAGGAAAACACATAATTCAAAATCGGTTGAATGTGGCGCTATCAACTCCGTAAAGACCTTCTTGTTACTGAACCAGAGTTGCAATAGCTAGTGTATTGAGGCTGTGGCGCTGTATGTCACAGTGGAGTTTCGAGTGTTAACATAACATATACAGGCTTTGGTATATTTTCATGTCATTTGTCGATATTGATAAATCTTATTTCCTTGCACATTTCCCAGTGAATTGTAACTCCTACCCAGACACCTTTACTTTTGCATATATCTACTATATTCCAGTATTGACAATTTCATTTGTGTCTCTGCGCACTCTAGAACACAAATAGACCGACATGTATATGGTCCATAGAATTAAGATAAAAGGAAAACTTACCTGACACGTTTCGTCCTCTGTGGGCAAATGGGCAATCCAGGCAAATGCGAGGATTTTATTTTGTAAGAAGTATTTATATACAAGAGCAAAAATGTTATTGGTTTTTCAAACTTTAAAGAACGCTCATTTGTCTGGTTAGCCGAAAAGTCTCGGCAAGCTATGGAGGACGCCAAATGATACAATTCCGTGTCTAATAAACGAAAGTGAGTAAATGATGTTTTTAATGCAAATTAGTATTTGAATTATTTTTGTTTGGGATTAACCTGATGAATATTTATAAGCGTTCTTAAAATTAAAAAAAATTGTAAGACCAATAACATTTTTGCTCTTGTATATAAATACTCGTTACAAAATAAAAATCCTCACAGTTGCCCTTCCATTTACATAAAGTCCCTCAGAAGATGAAACGCGTCGGCTAAGATAAGTTTTCCCTTTGTCTTTATTCATATTGTCTTTTTACAGATATACTCTATCTGAAATTTTACATATGATCCATTATTAAAGAGAATTCAAAAACGGAGAGTTTATTCGATCACTCCAGAAAGTACTTGATTCCTTTTGCGAAGCCATATCTTGGCTGGACCTGCTGAATGCTCACTTTCCATCATTGACAGAGTTCAAAATCATTTTCGTGCTCTTGTCGGGGTATGATTATTATTATCTACTCAGCAGTCTCTTTGCTACAGGCGCAACGTTGCAAACCAGTCATAGGCAAACTGTGGCCCGCTGGCCACATACGGCCCATTTGATCTTTCTGAATGGCATTTCATAAGCAAAATAACGTTTCTTAAATTTTTATTTTGTTTCGTTCTCACTTGTTCATTCACACACGCTCTCATACACAACTACACAACTACATAAATAAACAATGATTAAGTACAATATTTCTTGAATTTTGTCAGCATTTTAAACATTAGCGATTTTCACTAAGGAAGATCATACGTGCAAACAACTTTTGATTTTGAAACAGGAAACGTTCATAAGAATTTTTTTCTCTAAAGAAAAGTTTTCATTTTCAAATGAATGAATTAGAAATAAATCCCAGGCGATAATCCCATGTCATAAT